AGTTTTTCTTCATTACCCATTTAAGCCGTCTCCAGCCATTATTAGTCTCAAAGTGGGTTCCTCGTCATCGAAATCGAATTTATACTGAAGATGTTATTGCACTGGGAGCGATTCCTATCAGATTGTTTTTGGGTGTGATAGTTTATTTTACAGAGTCATCTTTACTGTACCGATCATCCAGATGTTGGGTTCCCAAATCAGTCAAATAATTTATCACTTTGCTGTCGTGTCCCATTCATAGATTGTGGGGTATGATATTCCCTCTGGTCTGCTGAACTTGAGGTGAAGATTATATGATTCTCTTTCCTACCCCCACCAGATTGCTTGGTTTTGGATTGTAGTTGACTTACCAACAGTATGATCCTCATCCTACCCCTGCATGGATGTTGGTTCCCAGTGGCTGGGTCTTGGATGCAATTGACTTGCCATGTATAGTCCGTCTCGCCCCAGCAACTCTACACCTAGAGGCACAGTGATGTACTTTATGGGATTGAGATTCCAAAATCTTATAGTTAGGATCCCTATCCAACTATTGTTCTCTTCCCCTTTTTAATGTGCTCCTCCCAATTTCTGCCTATGTCTGCGACACCTCTTTCCACATTGGGCAAAGAGTATACCTGGTACAGAAGTAGTATGGTCTCTCACGTATGATTCTGTAATGTGAGGATCTTCTCTTTTTTGATGTTCTCTGGACACTTTTGAAGGATACTTTATTTTTTCCCTCACACCAATCCCTTCACCTATTCAATGTGAGATTCTAGCTATTTATGTGAGAGGAAGTAATGTATCGTATCTGAAATTATAATTTTTCTATACTGAAAATATATTTTTGATAGGTATTTTACTTCCTCTCAAACTCCCCACCCTTCCTTCCCACTAGAAACTGGTGCTTCTGTTTTCTGCCAAAACTCGAAGTGATAGTTTGGTAGAATTGAACAGAAGGAGTCATCTGTATAAGTATGGTGTGTCGCACTCCTATTGGTGGAGGATTATGATTTTATGCAAGATGCAGTTGAACCACGTTGATCTTGGGGGTACAATGGGAGCTCAAGGCTTGTGGCACGAGAAAAAAAAATTGTATATAAAGGACAGCACTGAACAAAAATAGTTATTTATGTGAAAGGAGGTAAGTACCTATCAGAAATACATTTTCAGTGTAGGAAAATTATAACTTTTGAGTGACACACGAGAAGGAAATATCTAGAGCAAAATTCTAGAACAGGGTATGTTAAAAAAAAAACTGTATCCAAATTTGCAGATTTGAAAAGGCTTGCCTAGTTATTTTACTCACATGCTCCTCATGATATTGTTTTATGGAGATTCTGTGTTATTCATTCTTTATACCTCTAAAATGAGTACAACTAACCAGTAAACAAATGATTATAATTTGAACACCTTTACAGAAAGGGAACTTGTTTATGTATTTGCATACCCTATGTGAACACCTGATACTAAAAGACTGTGAGAGTGAGCATTATTAATCACTAATCAAGGAGATACTAAGAATATGTTGAAGTCTAGATATTTATCCATTTACCCATGATAGAGTAGTAGGCCAAACAAAAGCTGGTCAGTCCATACACTATTACTGGAGTTTTCAGTAGGAGTTGTGCATCAGATAGTGGAACCATGCTACTGTCACCTCATACACAGAAAAGGTTCTTGTTTTAAAGTAACCACCCACAAATTAGTTGCAAAAGTGACATCCTCAAACTTTGACAGACACTTTGCAAAAGTGACATCCTCAAACTTTGACAGACACTTTGCAAAAGTGACATCCTCAAACTTTGACAAACACTTTGCAAAAGTGACATCCTCAAACTTTGACAGACACTTTGCAAAAGTGACATCCTCAAACTCTGACAGACACTTTGCAAAAGTGACATCCTCCAACTTTGACAAACACTTTGCAAAAGTGACATCCTCAAACTTTGACAGACACTTTGCAAAAATGACATCCTCAAACTTTGACAGACACTTTGCAAAAGCTCTTGCATAGATTCAGCTAGTGGTTTAGAATGAATTTTCATTGTGTACTGTTAATTTTTTTTTTAACTAAATGTGTGGCTGAATACCCGTGTATGTATCCATCATTTAATTTACACTTCTTGCTAGTTCTCTATTTTGTATTGTTTTTATTTTTAATCTAGCAACCTTTTATGCTACAGAGTAATGAATAACAATGATTTTTTGTTGTCATATAGCCCAAGCAAGGCGTGTGCTGGAAGTGTCAGAATGATGTGGTCTCTTGTCACCTACTTTCTCTCCTGTATGTACTATAATCATTGCAGTTTTTGTGCAAACTGACTATCAGAGTATGCAACAGGGATCTGCATCCTTTGATTTTTGTGCAATTGATTTCTCGTTGAAATGATATGAACGGTTAGTAATATTTGTTTTATTCATAACTGAAAAGGTAAAGCATTTTACACTTGGTAAGACTGGAGAAATGTACAAAAAGCTTCTGTGACCACTGTTGTTTAGGCAATCTGTTGAGTACACTTGCTACTAGTGGTATTTTTGGCCCTGTATAGAAGTAAACAAAAAGTAAGTTTTCACGTGTATTTAGAGCACATTGAGTGTTTCAGATCTGTATAGAATATAACAAAATAAGAGTTTACATGTGTTTTTAGAGTATGTTCAATAAGCATGTGAGGTAGTACACTAAAATTTGTAACCATTCAAAAAAAATAACTTAGTTATTGAAATCACCATAGGAAAATTTTCAGACAAAATGATTGAAATGATTTTGGGATGAACTTCTTCAAGCTCTATCCCAACTAAGCAGTATTGAGAACACACAAAAGATTGGGGTGAAATAGGAATTATCCCATATAAATGGTATTGAGAATGCACGAGAAAGCTAGAATGATATTAGCTTTATTCCAACTAAACAGTAATGACAACACACAAATGAATCGGATGACATAAGCATTATTTGAATTAAATAGTATTGAGAACATAGAAGAGAGTCATCACGATATAAGCACTGTCCTAACTAAACACTGTACTGAAAAAAACACGAGAGTTGGATAACATAAGCACTACCCCAACCAAGCAGTATTGAGAACACACAAGACAGTCATCATGACATAAGCACTACCCCAATCAAGCAGTATTGAGAACACACAAGAGAGTCATCATGACATAAGCATTATCTCAACTAAACGGTATTGAGAACACACAAGAGAGTTGGATAATATAAGCACTACCCCAACAAAGCAGTATTGAGAACACACAAGAGAGTCATCATGACATAAGCATTATCACAACAAATGGTATTGAGAATACACAAGAGAGTCATCATGACATAAGCACTACCCCAACCAAGCAGTATTGAGAACACACAAGAGAGTCATCATGACATAAGCATTATCCAAACTCAACACTATTGAGAACACAAAAGAGAGTCATCATGACATAAGCATTATCCCAACTAAACAGTATTGAGAACACAAAAGAGATTCATCATGACATAAGCGTTATCCCAACTAAGCAGTATTGAGAACACACAAGAGAGTCTTCAGTACATAAGCATCATCCAACTAAACCATATTGAGAACACAAGAGAGTGAACATGACATAAACATCATCTGAACCAAACAGTATTAAGAACACAAGAGAGTAATATAACATTAGATTATCCCAACTCAACACTATTAAGAACACACAAGAATTATCATGACATAAGCATTATCTCAACTAAACGGTATTGAGTATACACAAGAAAGTTGGATGAAATCAGCATAATACAGACTAAACAGGATTGAGAACAAATCAGAATGTTATCACGACACAAGCACTATCCCAACTAAGCAGTATTTAGAACACTCAACAGAGTCATCATTGACATAAGCACTATTCCAACTAAGCAGTATTGAGAACACACAAGAGAGTGATTATGACATAAACATTATCCAAACTAAACAGTATTGAGAACATACAAGAGAGTCATATAACATTACATTATCCCAACTCAACACTATTAAGAACACAGAAGAGAATTACCATGACATAAGCATTATCTCAACTAAACAGTATTGAGAACACACAAGAGAATCAGATGACATAAGCATTATCCAAATAAACGATATTAGGAACACACAGGAGAGTCAACATGACATAAAGATTATCCCAACTAAACAGTATTGAGAACACACAAGAAAGTCTTCATGACATAAGCATTCTCCCAACTAAACAGTATTGAGAACATGCAAGAGCATGTCATGGTGTAGTGACATAAGCATTATTCAAAATAAACAGAATTTAGGACACACACACACAAGTCAGTCATCATGATGTAATGACATAAGCTTAACCCAATTAAACAGTATTGAGAACATGCAAGAGCATGTCATGGTGTAGGACATAAGCATTATTCAAAATAAACAGAATTTAGGACACACACACACAAGTCAGTCATCATGATGTAATGACATAAGCATTAACCCAATTAAACAATATTGAGAATACACATTAGAGTTATAATGACTTGATAATTATCACAACAAAACAATATTGAGAACACACAAGAGTATTGTCATGACAAAGCAGTATTGAAAACACAGGAGAGAGTCATTATTACATAAGCATTATCCCAACTATAATGTATTGACAACAAACAAGAAAGTCGCCATAATATAAGCATTATCCAATCTAAACAGTTGAGAACACTCAAGTGAGTTCTCATGACATGAGTACTATTTCAAACAAACAGTATTGAGAACACTCAAGAGAGTCATCATAACATAAGCATATTTCCAACAAACAAGAGAGTCATATGGCAATGGCATTATCCCAAATAAACAGAATCAAGAACACAAAAGAGAGTCATATGGAATTATGCCAACTAAACAGGATTGAAAACACATCAGAATGTTATCTTGACATAAGCACTATCCCAACTAAGCAGTATTGAGAACACACTAAAAAGTCATAATGACATAAACATTATCCCGACTAAATGGTATTGAGAAGATATCAGAATGTTGTCTCGACATAAGCACTATCCCAACTAAGCAGTATTGAGAACACACTAAAAAGTCATAATGACATAAACATTATCCCAACTAAATGGTATTGAGAAGATATCAGAATGTTGTCTTGACATAAGCACTATCCCAACTAAGCAGTATTGAGAACACACTAAAAAGTCATAATGACATAAACATTATCCCGACTATATGGTATTGAAAAGATATCAGAATGTTGTCTTGACATAAGCACTATCCCAACTAACCACTATAGAAAACACTAATAAGAGTCATCATGACATAAACACCATCACAACTAAGCAGCATTGAGAACACACAATATAGTTGTCATGACATAAAGACTATGCAAACTAATCAGTATTGAGAACACAAGAGTGTCAGATGACATAAGCATTATCTCAACTGAATGGTATTGAGAACACTAATAAGAGTCATCATGATATAAACACCATCACAACTAAGCAGCATTGAGAACACACAATATAGTCGTCATGACATAAAGACTATGCAAACTAATCAGTATTGAGAACGCATGAGTGTCAGATGACATAAGCATTATCTCAACTAAATGGTATTGAGAATATACAAAAGAGTCATCATGACATAAGCATTACCCCAACTAACGAGTGTTGAGAACACACAAGAGAGTTGTCATAGCATAAGTATTATTGCAACTAAACAGTATTGGGATCATACAGGAAAGTCAACATGACATAAACACTCTCCCAATTAAACACTATTGAGAAAACACAAGAGAATAGGATTACATAAGCACTATCCCAACTAAGCAGTATTGAAAAGACACAATATCACAAGATTCATCATTACATAACTATTATCCCAATTAAAAGTATTGAAAACAAACAAGAAAGTCATCATGACATAAGCACTATCCAATCTAAACAGTACTGAGAGCATACAAGAGGCTCGTCATGAAGTAATGAAATGAGCATTATCTAAACTAAACTGTATTTAGAACACACAAGAGAGTTGTTATGAGGTAATAATATAAACATTATCCCAACTTACTAATATTGAGAACACTCAAGAGTTAACATAAGCTCTCTCCGAACTAGGCAGTATTGAGAACACAGGAGAGTCGTCATGACATAAGCACTATCCCAACTAAACAGTAAGAAGAACACTCATTATAGTTATAATGAGTTAATAATTATCCCAACTAAACACTACTGAGAACACACAAGAGAGTCATCATGAAATAAGCACTATCCCAACTAAACAGAATTTAGGACACACAAGAGAGTTATCATGACTTAATGACATAAGTTTTATCCCAACTAAACTCTATTGAGAATGCACCAGATAGTCATCACAATGTAAGCATTTTTTCAGCTAAACAGTATTGAGAACACAATAGTCAGATGACATAAGCATTATCCAAACTAAACTGTATTGAGAACACACAAGTGGTTTGTATGACATTAGCATTATCCTAGCTAAATCCCATTAAGCACACACAAAGGAGTGAACATGACACTAGAATTATTCCAGTTAAACATAATTGAGAACAAACAAGAGAGTCATGGAATTATGCCAACTAGACAGGATTGAGAACACATCAGAATGTTGTCCTGACATAAACACTATCCCAACTAAGCAGTATTGAAAACACAAGAAAGCCGTAATGACATAAGTATTATCACAACTAAACACTATTCAGAAAACATAAAAAGGTCGGATTACATTAGCCCTATCCCCATTAAAGAGTGTTGAGAAAACACAATGAGTCATCATGACATAAGTGCAATCCAAATTAAGCAGTATTGAAAACATACAAGAGAGTAATCATTACATAAGCATTATCCCAACTGGAAAGTATTTACAACAAAGAAGAAATTAATCATGACATAAGCACTATCCAAACTAAACAGAATTGAGAACACAAAAGAGTCTTCATGATATAAACATTATTCCAAATAAACAGAATTGAGAACACACAAGAGAGTCATCATGACTTAGGCACTATCCCAACTAAACCGTATTTACAACAAAGAAGAAAGTAATCATGACATAAGCACTATCCAAACTAAACAGAATTGAGAACACACAAGAAATTAAGGAATATTGAGAACACCCAAGAAAGTCATCCTGATACAAGCAGTATCCAAACTAAGCAGCACTGAGGACATGCAAGGTAGTCAGATCATATAAGCATTATTGCAAATAAATGGTATTAAGAACACCAAGTGAGTCATCATGACATAAGCAGTATCCCAACTAAACACTCTTGATTACACACAAGAGGATTGGAGGACATAAGTATTATCACAGCTAAACAGTGTTGAGAACACACAAGAGAATCAATGACATAAGCATTATCCAACTGAACATTATTAGGAACACAGGAGAGTCAACATGACATAAGCGCTATTCCAACTAAAGAGTATTTAGAACTAACAATCTTGGATTTTAGCATTTAAGTCCGTAAAATTACCTCTGACCTCTAGGGGTTCTTTGTTTTTGTGGCCTTAATTTTTAAATATGTAAAAGTAGTGTTAAGAAATATCAAACATTATTCATGTGTTTTGTTATTCTTGTCTTATGTAATTATTGCACAGTTTTTGTATTTGCCTACAGAAAGTACATTTTGTGAGTTGTAAGCATGTAAACACAAGCAGAAATATGATGTCTTTTGAACAGATTATAATTAGACACATTTTAAAAAAGAATAATGTTTTTCTATAGTCATGGGTATGCGTACATGGGCATGTATAATAGATGGGAGTTTACTACCAAATAGAGCAAAGCACACACACACACACTTGATCTTTACTAAAGACAGATTTTCTAATGAATATTTTAATTAACTTAGGTTTCATCATATGAAGTAGTGTTCTGGCTACCCCAATTCTGCTTACCCGTTGTGTCATGTTTGTTTCTGCCAATTCTAATAACGTCAGTTTGTTTAATTCCATCTTTCCTGTTTGCTCCATGTGTTGTTTCATTCCACCAGTTATAATAACATCAGTTAGTTTAAATCCATCTTTCCTGTTTGCTCCATGTGTTGTTTCATTCCACCAGTTATAATAACATTGGTTAGTTTAAATCCATCTTTCCTGTTTGCTCCATGTGTTGTTTCATTCCACCAGTTATAATAACATCGGTTAGTTTAAATCCATCTTTCCTGTTTGCTCCATGTGTTGTTTCATTCCACCAGTTATAATAGCATCAGTTAGTTTAAATCCATCTTTCCTGTTTGCTCCATGTATTGTTTCATTCCACCAGTTATAATAGCATCAGTTTGTCTAAATCCATTTTTCCTATTTCCTCCCAGAATCTTGTTTGATTCCACCAGTACTAATAATATCAGTTAGTCCATATCCATCTATGCTGTTTGATTCCGCTAGTTCTAATAACATCAGTTAGTTTAATTCCACCTTTACTGCTCTGCTTCCTGAATCCTGTTTGATTCGAACAGTTCTAATTACATAGGCCCTGTCAGTCTCCGTCAGTTCTGTGTTACTTCATCAGACCTGTCTTTAGTGCTGTTTGATTTGTGTTATTTTAAGATGTGTATTTCAGAACTGTTCGGCAGATGCTTTTGTACATTTGCACAAATCCCGTAGTATACTCAAACTACGTCTTGCAAAATACTGATTAATCTTCCCACCTGACATTAATACAAAAACTTTTAAATACTCAGACATCTACATAGACTCTATGGCCCTGAATACTCCGACACTGACTCTTTCAGTGCCAGATTTATTTTTAAATACACAATAAAAAGTCACATATTTTAATGTTTCATTATTTATCTGAAACTGGCAAACCTTGGGAAATTTGAAGGGTCTGTTTGTTTTGAATTTTGCACAAAGATACATGAGAATTATCTTAGTGAAGACTTTTTTTTTATTTTTTTTCATTATCCTACCCAATCTAACTAAATAAGTTTCTAACTTTTATATTTTAGACACTTTATAATAATATAAAAATAATACACACATGAAAAAACAAGAACT